TTCGTCACATCTCAGAAATACTTGCAGCAGAAGAGAATCTGCTGAGAATTCCTAACAAGGCTTCCTTTCCCTGGCCCCTTGTAATGTCAGTTTGTCAAAGCAAATTTTTGATTTTCCATTCTCGAGTCGGTGCCTTTCCTGCCCAGTTCTTTCTGTTTCTTTCTTGATGCCATCCTCGGCCTTATTTTTATATCCCAGTTTGATTCTAAACCTTAACTTTCTGACGATTATGTAACAGCAAAGACATACTGACTTGCAACTTTGCTAACCAGGCTATTAGTGTGAGGAGAGATTTCAGAGCATCTTGTCCAGTCCTCTTTGTTCACAAATAAGCATAGTGAGGCCCCGAGAGGGAAGGGGCCCTCACTAGGTCACCCAGGCCACCTTGCAGTCCAGTCTCTTCTCACCTGACCACTGTGCTTGGTCCATCACCTGTTTGCCTGCTCAGTGCATCCCAGGGGCCACTTCTGCTGAGGTCAGAACAGCTCTCAAAGGAGATCGTCTTTTCTGAACGTGCAGAGGGTGTCGTTCCCCTGTGTGCAGGCGGCAGGAGACTGCACACAGAGGGTGGCAGCTGGCCTGAGGTCACACTCCCAACCCTGGCCAGAACTGGGACCATGTTCCTCATCTCTCCACAGTCCCCTGACACCTCCATTTCCTTCACCCTGGAAATAATCCAGCATAGAATTCTAGATGAGAAAACAGAAACCATCAATGTCCCATTATGGTACCTATTTCCAAGCCCAACCAGCCAGCTTTCATCCAAGAGGCCATCTGTGATAAAATATAAAAATCCCTTCTGTTCTGCCTTCAAGAAGCTCCTTCTAGAGTCATAGTCCAGTGAGAGTTGGAGCAGACTTTAGAAGAAAACCTATATATACTTAAGTCTCTAGCAAATTGTCTTCGAGGTTCTGCTTCAATTTCAAACGATAAGCTACTGACTTCTTTATCAAGCGGGCTTTTTTCTACTTTCAGTTAATTGTTTTAAAGTGGTAATTTTTTACTGAAGTACAATCAGTTACAACATCAGTTTCTGGTGTACAGCATAATGTTCCAGTCATACATATGCATACATGTATTTGTTTTCATATTCTTTTTTCATTAAAGATTATTGTAAGATACTGAATATAGATCCCTGTGCTACAGAGAAGAAATTTGGTTCTTTTTAACTCTATTTTGATATTAGTGGCTACCATTTGCAAAGCTTAAACTTCCAGATTTATCCCTTCCCCAAAGTGGTATTTTTTTTTAATGTAACCATTATAATCCAGGGACCCAGGTGGTTCAGTCTCAGAGGGACTTAATGTTCAAAATATATAGTCAGTATCCAAAATAAATGAGAAAGGAATTCCACCCTCCACCAAAGCACTAAAAGGGACCCTAATAAAGGGTCTGAAGCAGTGCGTAATAAAATTCCCTTTCCTCTCCAATCCTTTTCTCTCGCTGTGCAGCTGCTGTTCTATCACATCCTCCCGCAGTAACGTCCCCCCTGCCCCCCCCACAGCATTCCTTCGCCTCCTCCTCCATTGCCCTCTCCCCACAAGACCTGCGTCATGCAGACTGACTTCTCGTGTCTCTCGGCAAGAGCCGTTCCGTTTACAAGAGTGAGGACTCGATCTGGTAATTTGGGGATTCTCTTCAGTAGTTTGTGCGAATCTATCTCAGTGTCTCCTGATTCCCATCTACTGGTCCCGTTGACGTGGCTTGAGCTCAGAGCCGCTCCTCCACACGGCAGTGCTTTGACTATTTGACGAAAGGTTTCTAAGCCTGTACCCGCTCCCTTTTCTGTCCTCTAAACCAACCATGCCCACTACGGAGTGATTTCTTCTCTGGGCCTTCATCTGAGACATAAGATGGGAAAGTACTGTGTAGGAGGGGTGGGGTAAAAGAACAGTCATTGGCTTCATTGTTAGCAAGTATGAAACACTCCAGTATTAATTAAACCAGTCCCTGTTCTAGGCACTGGGGATAAAGTGCCAAACAACAGCCTACCCTCTGGGGTCTACCTTCTGGTTGACAGAGACTGAAAATTAATTGGCAAACAAACAAATATGTGAACTATCACATAGTACTAAAACTCTGAACAAATTAAAATAAAACATGAGCTAGAGAGTTCCTAGGACTTGGGGTGGCGTTGCTTTCTCTGTGGTGCTCAGGGATGTCCTGGGGAGGATGGGGCGTGGGAGGTGAGGCCTGAATGATCTGAAGGTGGCAACCACGGGACGAACCGGAAGTCCAGTGCAAAGACCTGCAGAGGGTGACAGCCGGGCATGGAAAGGGGAAAGGACAGCATCGCGTGCAGCTGAAGTGCAGTGAACCAGGGCGAGGGTGATGGTGGATCACCCCACGGTGGAGGGATCGGGGATGTAAGGTGAGGAGAGCACGGTTTATTCTCAGTGAGGTGGAAAGCTATGTGAACGTGTGCGCCAGGGAAATGACAACTGCTTTCGTTTTCAAAAGCTTGCTTGGCTGCCCTGGGGAGAACCAACTGGTGGGAGGCCAGAGAAGGCTGAGACACCTGGCAGCAGTGGGCCAGGCAGGCAACGTGGTGGTTCAGGCAGGTGATGCGGGGAGCTCCAGCTGAATGTGAGAAGTGGAAATGATGAGCAGGGTTCAGTCACGTGGCATCTTTTGAGAAGAACAAGATCTTGATTTTTCCGGGTGAGCTGCCCTGGTCTGTGGTAAAAACCTTGTGCACATAGCCAACCTGAAGGCTTCTGTCACAGCCTCTGACATCTGTGGGCTACTATCCAAATGAAAATGCACACATCACCCAAGAAAAAGCTACCAATCTGAGTGACATTTAAGTGTCAATCCAGACTCAGATAGTAAAGTTATCCCCCCAAAAACTATAATCTTAAAGTATCGATCTTCACCTACACACAGAAAATGTGTTCTATGATCACAGAGTGGTTTAGCTCCTTAAATCCCCCAGTGCCTACCTTCTGCCCCTGTGTTGGTCCCACTTACATTGTATAACTAACTTCTGCCTTGCCCAGTGCCAGGTTTGGAATCCAGGGCTGTTGGTTTGACTCCAGAGCTCCAGTCATGTGGACATTTATAGATGACTCCTCTGTCTCAGTTCCACTCAAGGTGTAGTGTTAGTCTGAGCCAGACCAGTTAATTCCACATCTCTTGCTTATGCATGACTCTGAAATGTGCATGTGACCCATTTGGCCAATAAACTGCTGGTGGATAGTCTTCTGTGGACTTCCACTAAAGGATTTATCCCTAGGAAAGAAACACTGAAAAAAACAATTTACTTTCTTCCCCTGGACGTTATCATGTCTGGAGGTGAGGCCTATAAATCCTGCAGCCATCTCTGAGCACAGAGCCATCCATAAAATTAAGTCCAGGCTGAAGATGACACAATAAAAAGATGGGAAGAATTTGGGTCCTTGGGGATGTTACTCAAGCATTGTTCAAAAAAATGCCTGGAACGTTCCATAATGCTAGACTTCCAGTTTCATGAGATAAATTTCCTTTCTGCTTAAGCCAGTTTGCATTGTAGCTTTTTTTTTTTTTTGGTTACAAGCAGGAAGATTCATTCTGCCAGATAGGTTGGGGTTCATTTTGTTTTTAATTCAACAGGGATTTACTGAGCACCCACCATGTGCCATGTTCTACCTGGCCCAGGGCCAGGGTAATGCAGACTTAGTGACTAAGACAACACTGCCAATTCTAGTGACACTTAATGTTCTAATTTAGGGGAGGGGCAGGAAAGAAGTAGAAATAGATGGGTTAGCTTTGATAACATCAAATGCTATACAGAAAATAAAGCAGGGTAAGGTGCTAAAAGATAGCTAGCAGCATGAAGAAGGGAAACAGAGCCTAAGAAACTATTAGATATGTGCAGAAGTGGGCCAAGTCCAGGGATGAGCACACCTCAGTGTTTATAATAGCAAAACTAATGATCATTACTAGAAATAACTCAGGTGTCCATCTATGGGGGCCTCATGAGATATCAATCTTGGTGCGTTTATGTGATAAAATAGTATATTGTCAGTGAAAGGCTGGACTCTAAGATTATACCACTTATATGACACTATCTCCCAGGTAAATTATTAATAAAAATTAAAAGCTGAGTGTGGAATAGTATACAGAGTGGTACCCCAATGCTGAGAATTAGAAAAAGGATAGCTGGATACAGATGCAGGTATAAATGTATTTCTGAGTGGATGTGCAACAAAGTTTATCAGTGGCCTTTAGGGGAGGTGAGAAAGAAGAGACTTTTACCTTTTATTTTGTACCTATCTGTACAGTTTTAGAATTTATGTTACCATGTGTCTTTTTAATTTATAGAATAAGTCCATTTTTTAAAGAAATTTTAATGATATCTCGATTTTCCTTCAAGGCAAACCTGAGTCCAGGGATAATTAGTGTAAGTAAATATCCATGCTTAGGAGGAGGGGCTTTTCATAGCCATGACCTTAGAGGAGAAGAACCTGACTTTAAATAGGAATCAGGCAAAAAATGAGGCCATCTGTTCTACCTGGTGTCACCTGGCATCCAGTCCCCCCACCATCAGGGATAAAAGCTGCAGGAAGAGACTCTAGCGCCGAACACTCTGCGACAACCAAGAGCAGCACCGCATGGGACCAGCTGCCAGGATTATCCCAGATAATGTCAGGGCAGAGAGACGGTGGGGGAGGATGGAAGAAAAATACACGAGGACGCTAGACGAGGCCAAAACTCTGAAAGTTTGGGAGTGGCTGAGGAAGGGCCCTCATGGCGGGAATGCTCGGAGGCCTGGAGGTTGATGAAGGCGTGTAAGGTTATTAGCAGGTGCGTCTATATGACCTTCTCAGGGATTCCGCTCCCCAGGTGCTTTGATCTGAGCCAGGCCCAGAACCTGTGTTGATTTCACTTAGTGACCTCCCTCTTCACTGAACATGTGTTTTCAAAAGCCCTCATCTGCTCCCTGTCAAACCCCTATTTGTAACACAATCAGCAGGTCTCCCAAGGAGGCTGCCTCAATGCCAACTTCAAGAGCAGAACAGGTTGAGGTCTGTCCCGATGGAGCGCTTTCCGTAGACCTGCATCATTGGAAACGCCCCATTGAGTGACTGTGGTTTCCTTTACTCACAGAGCTGCATGTTAGATCTGTGGGAAAGAACTGCAAGACAGAGTTACTAAATAAACTATGAAAAACCTAACAGTCACACTTTTTTATCTTAGGGGTTGGCATATCCCAGTGATCAGTACTGTCTATAGCAGTGTTCAAAGCAAATACAAGTAAATCTTACATTCTAGTAAATAAATAAGTAAAACTGGAGTTTGCCGGATGGTGATAAGTTCTTTGGGAAAAAAAAATAAGGCAGGCAAGTGAGATGAGGAGTGGAAGGGTGCAAAGGAGATGCGTTCTGATTCCAAATAGTGTGGTCAGGAAAGCCCTCACTGAGAAGGTGACAGCAGAGCATCATCCAGGGAAGGGAGGGTCAAATCATGGGATGATTTTGGGAGAAGAGTGGTCCAGGTATGGATAGGAGCAAAGGTGAAGGGCAGGGGGGCGTGTCTGGGTGTCTGGAGCAAGGAGGACAAGTGTCTGGAAAGGGGGAGCAAAGGGGAGTGTGATAAGAGGTGAGGTCAGGGTCACAAGGTGGACGTCGGGGAGCAGGTTGTGTGGGGCCTTGTAGGTCATTGTGGTGACTTGGGGTTTTACTCAGGGAGAGAGGGAATAAAGGGGGAGCTGTCTGAGTTTCCTGTTGTTCCTGTTACAAATGACCGCAAATTTAACAGCTTGAAGCTACACAGATTTATTCTCTTACAGTTCTGGAAGTCAGAAGTCTGAAAGCAGTTTTACTGGACTGAGGTTAAGGTCTGGCAAGCTTGGTTCCTTCTGCAGGCTGTGAAGAGAGACTCTATTTTCTGGCCCTTTTCAGGGTCTAGCGGCCACCTGCATCCCTTTGCTTGTGGCCCCATCTTCCATCTTCAGAGTACATTGTCCTCATCCCTGCTTCCATCACTTTCTCCTCTGATTCTGACTACTCCAGCATCCTCTTATAAAGACCATTGTACTTGCATCAGACCTTCCAGATAATTCAATTTCCTTATCTCAAGATCTTTAACTTAATCATACCTGTAACATCTCTTTTGCCATATAGAGTAACACACATAGGTTCTGCGGATCAGGACCTGGACATGTCTGGGAGGCCATCATTCAGCCTGCCACAGATACCTTGATTTAAGTTTCTAAAGAATTCTCTGGCTGCTGCGTAAGAATAGAGTTTTGGGAGTGCACCGGCAGAAACAAGGAAACCTATTAGGCAGCTCCTGCAATACCTCAGACAAAAGACGATGAGGGTTCAGTTCAGGGTGATGAGAGAAGAGTGGCTGAGAAGTCGTATCTTGGATATGTTTTGAAGATAAAATCACATGGTTTGTTGATATGGGTCATGTAAAAAAATAAGAAGGGGAAATGACCTCTCTAAGTTTTTAGCCTGAGCAACTGGAAGGATGGATATAGTTTTGTACCAAAATGGGAAAGGTTACTGAAAGAGCAGATTTAGAGGACAGATCATGAGTTTGGTTATGTGCATTATTACATATGAAATGCCTATTGAAGGGTCAAACTGAGATGAATTAAATGTTAGGACTTGAACCTAAACAGGCGAATCAAATTAGCTTTTGCTATAATTGTGCACTGAGAGTTGTCACCCATTGCAATACTTTAAAAGCCATTGGGCTATGGTTCTTTGCATAAAAGTCACATAGGAACATTGCATGAGCAGGAGAACATGGTAGATGAGCAATAGCAGGGCAGGATTCATGTCCTAACAAAACCCTGACTGTAACACCATCAAAATAGCATCAGAAAGACCCCCAAAGCTCATGTAACCCTGCCGTTGCAAATGTATATGCAATTTCTGAGGCCAACACTGAGATCTACAGAGATCCTCTTGTATCTTGGTTCAGGGTCTGTTTCAATGGTTTTGAACTCTAGTTTGCATCAGAAACAACGGAAGATCGTGTTAAAGAGCAACTTTCCAGATTCCATGTGAAGAGTCTGGCTCAGCCGTTCTGGTGGTGGTGGTGGTGGTGGTGGTAGGGATGGATCTGCAACCCAGATAACAGTGGGGAAGGAGAGAGGAGGGACTGATGGGTTGTGGTAAGTGAAATATGCAGTGAGGATTTAGTTTGGTTTGGTTTGAAGTTAAGAATGTATTGAGGACTTAGCATGGGCAGTTAGGACATCACTTGATCCTCACTACACCCTAAGACGTGGGGGGGAAGTGCTATTATTAGTCTCATTTTACAGATGAGAAGACGAAAGCCCTAAGGAATTAGATGTCTTTCCCAGATCACATAGCCGGGCAAGGCAGAGCTGAGATTTTAAACTGGGTTTGTTTGGCTCGGACTCCCATATCCATGCTGCTATCTGGTATTCTGTGTTGGGGATGGTGACGTGGAATGATAAATGGTTGGATGGGTTGGATGTGTGAAAAGGGATGATTCTAAGATGCTGTTGATGATGTCTGGGGTTTATGTTGGGATTTGTAGATTGAATTTTGGAGCCAGGTTGCCTGATTTCTTTCTTTCTTCTATTTTATTGAAGTATAGTCAATTACAGTGTGTCAATTTCTGGTGCGCAGCACAACGTCCCAGACATGCATATACACACACATAAGGAAATGGTTTTTAAATACCTACTCTAAACCAGGCATTTTGCTAAGCTAGATTTATCAGCCTTACAGCAGAGCATTCTGTATGTTCCTTTAAACCATTGTTGTATTTGGGCTGAAAAAGTTAGGGGGACACAGTAGGAATCCCTAACTCTTAGGGCTTGTTGAATTTAGGACTCACAGCCACATTTTCAATATATTTAGGAAATTCAAATTTCACTGGAACCTGTCCTGTGCACACGACTCATTCTCCAAGGCCACACCAGACAGAGTGACCAAACAGATGGACTCTGCATTGCACCCAGGAGTCCAGCCAACTCCGGCTGCGCTGGCCACATTGGAGAATCTCACAGAAGTTAGGTAGAATTTCCAAATTTGCAAGGGAGAGTGAGATCCTGAGTCCCACTTCCAATTTTGAATCACGCAGGTTATAGGTTTCAAGTGGACTTTCTCTGTTTATTTTCACTTAGCACATTTGCTCCTTTTCTTCTGGGATGAGGAGACATCATCTGGCACCTCTGCCAACCTCATCATCACAATTATCCGCTTGGCAGATGATGGTTGCTTTGGAGAACAGACACAGCTCCTCTAGGGAGTCACGCATACGCACACCTCTTCTGCAGGTTTGTGGGCCTTGGTGAGGAGGCGACAGGAGGGGTTCTGTGGACCCGGAGAACTTTTAGGACTTTTCACTCTTTCGCCTGCTTGAATTAGCAACTGGGCAGAAATGCCCTTCAACCAAGACTGAAACCAGGGCAACTCCAAAAGCAGAACCATGATCTGCATTAGAAAGAAATTCTGAGTCCTCTCTTGGGCATCTGCAATGAGATTTTCAAGAGGGCAGTGCCAGTAAATTGCTCTTCCTTGAAAATATCCATTCTAAACAGACTTGGAACCTGTCAGTCCAGGAGTCAGGTTTTTACTGTCCTCCTTGTATTGGTAAAATAAATACTGGAATTCAGTTCACTTCACAAAGACTTAGAGAACGTTAGGTCCGATGCGTGGTGGTTACCGTGGTAAACAAGCCCCTTCTCTCATGGGACTTGTTGTCCCGTGGGAAATAAAGTCAGGGAAATAATTCAACACAAGTCAGTGTGATGAGAGCTAGGCTGTTATAGGGCAGTTTTTTGAAACTCAGAGATGTTTACCTAATCCAAATCCAGGTAGACAGAAAAACCTTCCAAAGGAAGAGGTATCTTAATTTGAATCCTGAATGAAAATGTACCCGAAAGAATCCTGAACCGGAAGTCTGGGATCCAGGTTCCCTTTTTTTTTTTTCTTTTTTTTTTTTTTTTTGAGTTTATTAGCCTTGGTAAACTTTTTCCTTTTTTTTTCTTTTTTTTGTAGTTATTAGCCTTGGAAACATGGACAAGTCATTTAACATCAAAGAACATCAGTCTCTTTATCTTAGAAATGGGGATAATAATACATCTCAAAGGATCAGGTAACAAAAACATATGTGCAAGTGATGGGTAAATTCCAAAGCATTGTGCAGAGTGCCAAGGGAAGGTATATGAAGTACCACTGCTGTCAGTATTCTAGTATCCCAGCCTGTGTGTGCTTGGATTGGTGCCAGAAAGTTTGGCTTTGCCTTCTCCCAGTACCATTCATCTTTGAAAGTGCTTAAAGTCACTTTGCAACCAAGATCCACAGATGGAAACCCAAATTTCTTGCCGGCTTAACTCTGCTGATATTCAGTCTTCTCTCCCACCCCCCCCCAATCTCTGACCCTGTAAGTTTTGGGTTTTTTTCCCCTACTCTTCCTACTTTCCTAGGAAGCAAGAGACTGGTCCATAAATATTTATCACTATGCTTTGTGATTTGTAAGCAGATTTGAGAATAAAATCGTACTATTTCAAGCATCAAGGTTGAATAGCTTTCAAACTAAAACCGAGCTCTATTGCGAAGCAAAGAGGAGGAGCAGGCTTTTCCATGGCTGTACAGCGAGATTTATTTTTGTGTCTCATCTTTCATAACGCGTAGCATCTCTCTCACGTCACGGGGCAGCCCTTTTCACCTATCAACCTTGGAGGCACCAGAGTTAGACATCTCTTCTCCTCAGTGGAGAAGTACATTTTTCCACTAATGAATGTAGCAGTGTCCAAGTATGATGCCTGGAATCACCTCTGAGGCAGAAAACCAAGCTCCAGACACCCTGGGCCCAAAGCCCAGAAGACCAATGTCAGTTTCCTCGGTATATTTGGAAGAAAGAAAACATCCAACATGAAGGGTGAGCAAAGAAGGCAAAAGATGACTTGAGAGGGAAAACAAGAGGACCCACTAGGTGTTAACCTATGGTGGCGATGGTCGTAGCCTTCCCCACGTTGTCTCAACTCAAGATAAGCAACTACTCTGTCTTAGAGACGGACTTTTCTAGAAAATCTTCCATCTAGATGAAGAGTTTTTATCCAAATATCAGACTTCAGAAAGCTAAGGTAACGGCTACCTCTCATCTCAACACACCCTCCACACTTGCTTAATCTGACTAAAAACTCAACTTGCTAAAA